CTCAATACAGCGAAGTAAACGCGTAGTTGCCATTTATAATTCACACATACCGATGTACAGAAACAACATACGAAATTTGACAATATGTACTGTTTGCTGATGTGACGATGACCTATCCAAAATTAACATACTGAACCAGTACTTCAACCTACGTTCGACATTCAAGTCGAAATGGATTTCCACCCACCATCAAGCAGTCAGAGTTTAACTACTCTGTAGGTACACTTCATTACGGCATAACACTCAGCCTCGACAAATTATGGTATAATTATGCCGGATTACTTTTAGACAGCTAGCGCTACAAATTAGCCCGTCGGTAAATCACCACAGCACTCGTAAAGAGTACAAAGCGCTACAGCCCAACTATGATCTCTTCCCCTATACATGCACATATGGGTATCGGCGGGGAAGCACCGCTGGGTAGCAACTATAGCTATAGTTTATCTAGTTGATAGGCCCTTAAGTACACGGAGTGCTCTGTGTAATCGCGGGTTGTATTTGTTGCCCACACGTTGAAATCAATCTACTAATAGATTGTAATTTGTGCTAGACATTTATCTTGGCCAAATCGCCGAACATTGTGTCAATATACACGCGGACTGAACGTGGCAATCGAGCCATATTCGCCAATCACACATAATTCATTTCAACTACATAACTTTATTCTAAAGAAAAAGTAGCTAACAACCAACTACAACTGCAGTAACTTCTATGAAGAAAAACTGTTCACCCTCATCAAGGTCTGAAATTTTTACTACCCTCTTCCGCATTCTTTTTACAAAAACCCCTCTAAACCGACAAAAATGGTCTTGATTGTTCCATGTCAAACTGCAATCTGCAACATGAGGAAAACTTGGTCGCGAAGAACCCCAAATGACACCTCTCATTTATTGTAACCTTCTATCAGTATCTCGTCGAGGATTACTCAGAGAGATACTCGTCATCATGCCACTCCATCGCCCGGGACTCAAATTCTTCGCTTTAAAGTAAGTAAGTATGTACTATATGCAGGTGAGTCAAGAAGGTACAAATGCAACTCAGTTAACATAGCAACATTCTTATATTTGCAATTCTTATCATGCCATGCAACTCTTACTATGAAAATGACAAGATATTCCAAAACGACGAAAATGGTCTTATTGGTTTCATATCTAACTGCAATCGAGAAAACGAGGAAAATTTGGTCACGAATAACCCCAAATCACACCTTCCTGTTAATGTAACCCTCTATCAGTATATCGTTAAGGATTACTTAGAGAGACACTCGACATTACGCCACGCCAGTTGAGGTCTCCATCGCCTTGGACTCGAAATCTTGACTTCAAAGTTAGTAAGTAGGCACTATATGCAGATGCGTCAAGAAGGTAAAAATGTGTCTCTTTCATCATAGAAACACTCTTTTATTTTTCAATTCTTATTAGCGATGCAATTCTTATTATGAAAATGAAAAGAGATTGTTTGAATCGCACCCCATTATCAAATGATCAATTCGATCAAGATCTCCAACCATCCTCCACGACAGGAAGTGACTACCTATTGTACGCTGTATTGTCGACAGGGGTGACATCAGCGACAAAAGATCCAATTTCATGAGAGAAGTATATTGAAACGTTTTAGAGGCAAGTTGATGAGATAGGTGGCAAAAAGAAATCAGGCATAATGTTCGCCAGGAAGTATGCATAGTCAGATTTCGGTTAAAAAAACTCGTACTACACTCAACGATTATTTGTATAGAAAGAAGCTGATAGAAAAAGGTGGAATATAGATGTCAAATTCGTTACTCGCCAGGAACCACCCATATGTTTATTTCGAAAAGCCTATTGTCCTAAATGATATACTGCGATTACCGCTGGCTGCATCCGCCTTGGCACGTCTAAACAAGGATTATTGGACTGTCGTACTTTTAAGCGTACTTTGATGTACCAATATTTGTATCCAATTGTTATCTTGCGAGGACCAATCTACCGATTCTATTTTATCGCGGAGGTACATTCTGTTCAGCGAGAGGGTACTCTCATTTAATTAAACCTCATGCTTGGAGATATTGAGACGGCTTGATCTCAATCACAAGTCAATGATAATTCGTATTCCATTTTAAAGTTTGAAGATGGCAAAGTAAGACTAATTTCAAGACCGTCACGGACGTAAGAAGCTGTAAGCTGTGCATATACTAGAAATGACATGAACAGACGGCGAGTGCAGAATACAATGAACTAAGAGGTTTTGTACGCGTGTTTGAAAAAAATAGCCTCCACATCATACTCTCTGCAAGATGCAAGGAATACATTCACCTCTGCAACATGGATCATAACTAGCACATAAACAGATCATCAACTCCGCTGACAAGACCGATAGTGATTTGCAACGTAGATTTATTTGAAGTAGGGTTCCCACATCACGACTTTGCACTCACAGCTGCGGCTTCATGCGACATCGATGTCCGTTATGACTGGTCCCATGATGTGAGCCACAACTTACCTGCTAGACGAAGTAATATCTTTCATCGGATAAAATATTTGCTACCAGGCACGGACGTGAAAGATACAACAAAGATAGGCACAGCTTGGGGAATCGAACTAGGCAATCAAGTACACTGAAGGACTGCAACACGTGTATACAAAACAGTAGAAGCCAAAAAATTGACTAAAAACTATGGATTTGGGTTAATACATAAGCGCAGCACGCAACATATAGAGGTAAGAACATTTGCATCCCACATAATGTCTGCAAATCGAGTGATATCGAGGGCTTTTGAACTACTCATAAGATTAGACCATATGACATCGGTGTACTGCGATATTTTGATGCCCGGGAAAGTTGTGGGAAATAGAGTTGCTGTGACGATGTGGATGTGATTATGCCAGCTGCCATAACCTATCTAATACTTTTGCGCACAAGTACTGAGGTTTGTATTCAATAAGAAACACGGTTACCGAAATATATGGCAAACAGATGTTCGGAAGATCCTGATAAAAAATCAACAACAAATGGCAGGAAGAAAAATATATATAAAATACCACTGTACAGGAAGCAGGACAAGGACGAGATACACACGCCCATATTCTCACTGTAGGTGACACTGGCGAGTAGCACACCACATGAACACATAGGTTACGACCATGAGCACAAATAAGCATATTTTGACATCTATAGGCATGCCATATATCGTATATCCAGTCACTAACAATTACATACTTATATACCTTTGAACAGGAGTAGCCTACACAAATAATTATATTTTCACATTTACAGGCTTGCTATCGTTCATCCAGTACACTAACAACTTCATACTTGTGTACCTTTGAACATGTGCATACCGCATTCGGCCCCATCTGCAGCGGTATATCGCGGCGAAGCCACTACACAACCGATTTGGTATTGGCCTAAAGATTCATACTTACCTTGCGACAGAGGACTCGCCGGTACTACTTGTGGTGGAAGTGGATTAGTGCAAACGGGTGCACGCGATGGGACAGAATGCCTCAACTGCAGCACGACGATACTATGCCAATGCACCTACAGTAACTCGTTACATACTCAAACAATGCTTTACCAGGATATGACAATGCAGTGACGGAAGTGTAAGACAGTGGCGAGTTTGAACGCAACGACAGTTATGCGACCGTGGCATGGCTTCCGCCCGTAGTACTATAACATCATATCAATATTTGGGCTTCTCTCGACCACCTGATGCAGGTGATAAACATCGTATCACAAACCTTTCTGTCGTAAAATCATAGAATACAAAAACGGCCACCATTTTGTGACAAGTTCCAAATCAACTGCTAAAATTCGTATCATCTCACTCACCATACGAACGTGCACGACTCGGGGTGCGTTTCGCTCGAGTGCCGTGCCACTGTCGACTCACTTTTTGCACATGCGTGTTGAACCTGAACCCTATATCTGTTGATCTCGTAATTGTATGACGCACTAATACGTGCATAGACCGTAATCATCGCATAGACTAGCACATCACGCCAGCATCGGAGAACATCAGCCACGTGCTTCACATTTCATACATACTATCTAAATTCTTTATTTGCCCCTAAATCCCTCTCGATCCGGTGGCGTCGCACATATATACTCATACACCGTTGGTATGTATTCTATATTTGGCCCAGCTTCTTTGCAGCCGTCTTTGTATGGTACTCTTCATTGAGCGCGCCTATCACTGACGCCGTGGTTGCCTATAGTCACATGGTACCTCATATCTCATGCACCAGACGCAATGCACAGCACCACGACCAAATGTGGAACGAGGACACCATTTCCCTTGGTTGCCGAGATGACAAAGGGTTACTATTCCGTTACCACTCATGTTCTATATTTGGCCCAGCCACCCCACCCCCCACAGAACGCCACTATGAATATGCTACCAAGGGCATCGTTCAGGTTAAGCACTTACTAGACGCATGCACAACGGGCGTATCATGCAGCATGCGACGCTCGCAGAACTACGCGCATGTTCATGGTGCAACAACTGACTGCCAAGACGCACTAGAGAGCTATTTCGTGCCGTTCTATTCTAATACTCAAGCATGGTGGCTGTCAGAGCGACGTACACAAACCCACATCCTGCGTAGCCTGCATGCGATGCGATTGTACTGACCGAAAGCGTCGAGTTATCTGCGCCCCAGCTGACCATGTGCTAAAAGGGCCTTTCACAGGCCACACCTACACACGCACAGCACACACTCGCGTACGGTGTGGGCTACGGTGCTCGCGCTTGGAACATCACTCGCCAATCGTGTTCTAAATATAGCTATCTCTATTCATAGCGCAGTCGTTAGCGGTGCTCGGCCGGCCCACTCTCATCACCGAGAGTGGCATCTATATAACCGCTTTCACGTCGTATTCATGCGGGGGTAGGGTAGCATGCGCTTCACCCAACGCTAGCACCAAGAAGCAACCTGTATAGAGTAGTAGTCCCCTCCGCTAGTGTGACACTACTGCCTGTTGTGTCACCGCTTGTTTTCTAACTTGACACTCGGCTGCGGCTATAACACGCTCTCTGACCTGAAATATCACTTAGCTACTGTCAGCTATCACAGCTCTGTGGGCACGCGTTGGCTTGCACCCGTACTTTGATTCACTCAATACCGAGTGCCTGTAGACAATGTGTGGTTTGTCTTTAGACATCGTGTGAATTGTCTTTAGACATTGCGTGACTTGCCTTTAGACATCGTGTGACTGGCCTGTAGACATTGTGTGACTTGTCTATAGACATTTGACTCCTACTTATATTCTGTTCCAATCCTCATCGGACCTCTTTTGCGATACTTGCTCTGTATACTATGGCGTGCAGAAGATACAGCCTTCTCTGTTCCCGACTATCCATGTCCGACAACCTTTAAATATTCTCTGCAATCCGTGTCCGTTTGTTATCATAGCTCGGTAGGCACGCTTTGGCTGCCCTGTGTGTCGTCCTTGTCTAATGAATGGCTTTTACTAACCAGGTTCTGTTTCTGCGTGGGTGCGGTAGACCACCTACGCAATGCTTGCGACACAAACGACGGCGCAGAGGGTAGGCTAACCCGGTCTATGCCGTGGTGTATGTTTATAAGCGCAGCCGTGAAGCTGTCCATGAAGTACAGCGTCACAAACGCCATTTCCAGCGGCCCGTACATGAGGCCCACTACCAGCGACGTGGCGCTGACCAGACGCGCCACGCTTATGGCCACGCTGACAAAGGTGAAGATGCTGATCATGCGCAGATTGGCCCAGTAGTCCGAGAACACGAGCTCGACGTAACGCGTCATGTGCGCGTAGTAGCAGAAGGCCGCCAGCATCCCCAGCACCAACGCAATCTGGAAGCACAGCCCCACGGTCAGGTCTAGATGGGTCTCGCGAGACACATCGGAATGAAAGGCACTGATCACAAACACCAACAGCATGGTCTCGGTGATGGCCCAACAGACCAGGAGGATGAGATTGGGGTACAGATACTGCCAGAACATCTGCCGGCGGCTGTAGGTGCGGGTGCGGCGGTCACCCACAAAGAGGATGTACAGGATACGCTGCCGCGCAATTACCGCAGCGAAATACATCGTTGTGGTGAAGCGCATGGCTATATGCACCAGCTGTAGCACAAGCCCCTGGGCCTCGGACCAAGTAGTCACAAAGTATGTCTGATCCGCTCGTGCCTGCGCTTGGGTCGGGCTATGGGCGCAGGGTTCGCCGATGTAGGAGAAGATGCATATGCCTTGCAACACACCGAGATACTCGAGCGAGTTGAGCGTGCCCATCACCGGGACGATACAGCCTACTACACACAGCTGCAGCAGGAAGTGCTGCCCGCGGGGCTTGATGGCCGGGTGGTTGCGGTGTTTCATGACCTGCCACGCGTACAGCCAGATGATCCCACAGTGCAGCACCCCACTCACACACACCATGGTGATCGACAGCGCCAGCACCGGGTTACACTCGCACAGATACAACCGGTCTTCCATCAGATACGCGATCAACACCGCCGCAAACGGAACGGTCACCACGGCCACCACCAGCAGCACGATCCAAAACGACTTGGCGGCAAAGCGTGCTAACGTTTTGCCCTCCTGCATCCTGCGCCCCCTTTCCGTGGTGGTGTTCATGCGGTCATGGCCCTCGGTCAGCACGCTGGTGAGGTTAGCCTTGCCGTATGCGCTGCTCACGTTGCCGCTGCTATCGGCGCTCTCGCGCGCATTCCGCACGCCTGCGCCTGTGGGTGTGGTGGGGTTGCTGGTGCTGCTGTGGCACCCCCTCGCGTCTCTGTGGATTGCGGGTGGGTGCGTGTCGGCTAACTGGTCGCTCGAGATGCTCAGTATATCCTCCTCTTCCATGGTAGACGACGCCTCGGCATTTGTTATAGCGTTAGCCGACGCGCGTGCAGCGGCAGCAGTCGGTATGCGAAAGGACACGCGTGAGCTGCTGCGTACTTTAGGAGGTGACTGTGTGTGTGTGTGTGTGTGTGCGTGCGTGTGTGTGGGGGTGGGTGCACCCTCATCGGCGTCTGCGTGTGTGTCCATACCCATGCCTATACCTACATCGAAAGTATCCGATGCCACCTCTCTCACGTGTTGGGTACACGGCATGCTAAACATAGTCCCTTTCCCCTTGGACGTACGGCTCGTGCGAGAGGTCTCGCTGCTGTCTAAAGCCCACCCTTCTCCGGATATAACACGCGCTAATGGCGTTGCATTGAACATTGTTGCACACCTTTCCCTCTCCCCTCCATTATGATCGATACGATGGCCATCGCACGTTTTTTTTAAGTCCCTGCTACTTCCACAAATAGCACACAACCCATCTACTGAGTGTGTTACATAAGAAGGTACACTATCGGTGCACTCTGTTGCTGTGACCTCTGCATCGCAGGCGTAATCCTCTCTCGTCCGACAATGTGATTGTGTATTGGTATGGGGAGCCGTCTCATCTCCATCTCTATCACTAGCACTATTGTTCTCCTGATGATCACTCTTTTTATCACCGCAATGTGCACACACATCATCCCCACAAACTATACACTTTGTATTCACCTCCATGCGCCCAACCGGGAAGGGAATAGTGTCCTTTGTCGCGGGACCTGTCTCAACATTGTGTGCGTTTGCATCATTCGAATCAACACGCACACACACGTTGTTATTGATAAGGACGTTGTGTACGAGACTATGGGCACTAACCGTCTCTAAACACTCCCCGATGACACCATCTCCCGCATGCGGACTCGGAGACGTATCAGCACATATGTTGTCGTTGTTCTCCATACCCGTATTCAATGCGCTGGTGTGTACTGTAGCTATATTAGATCGAGTCCCAGATGCATCAGTGTCTGTTCGGGTTTTATCTGAGCTACTGCACTCTGCACTCACAGCACCTCTCAGCTTCTCAGGCGGACACTTGAGAGAGTTTATCTCGTTCGTTGATGTAGACGTTAGTGAGGTTGGAGATATGCCTCCACTACCATCCGATGTATATGGTTCCGCTGAGTTCGTGTACTCTGCATCAACAAGAACGTTCAGTTAAACTGGCCAATTGGGCGCGTTTATATCAGGTACAGGTTCAGATGTAGATGTATGTAGAAGTAGATGTAGACTGGCCGATGCCGCTACTCGTGAAAAGTCTTCAATATCGTCCGACATGTATGTTGATTACATATGGGGTTTGAGGGATTCAGAACAAGTACATCTTCATTGACATCAACACTCCCCCTTCGATGATATCAACACTTCCCCTTCGTCAACATCAACAATTTCCATTCGATAACATCAACACTTCCCTTGTATGAGTAATGTGTCACTTGAGGACGTATTCGCGCCTTTCGCATCACTCCATGCCATCACGAGAGCATCAGTGAGCATCAACAAGCATGCGTACGTTAACGTCCCGTACAATACATATGAGTACTGCACATACGAAGAATGTGTGATCCTAGTGCAATGTAAAGCCCCATTTATTTATTATATTATATGTACACACTACACACTCGTGAGTGGAAAGGTAAATACAAAATAACTTCAGCACTTGTTATAAATATATTTAAAAGAAAGCGTTTCAAGGCTCTCATCAAGCTCTACATTCGTCTCTATTTCATTATCAATTTGTCCAAAACGGTTTCCCCCCAATTTGTAGGCCCCCTACGGAGAGACTCATATTTCCTCAAAAATCTCATTGACGCTTTTAGTCTCCACGGCGTTCCAGCTGAATAACAACACAATTCTTTTGTAAATATTTAGACGGTGTACTTTAGGTCTCTTGGTAGACGGCTACTTTAAAAATATGACTTCTTGTTGTATTAAATAATCGCGAGGACGATAGAGTTATTAGAATTAATTCATTGTGGCTATGCCTGTATGACACGAAAGCACCTGTTATATATATGTTTATATATATATATATATATGTTTATATATATATATATATATGTTTATATATATATATGTATATGTTCATATATATAAATATATATATGTTTA